CGCTTAGACTAGAGCACCTTTAAGTGAGTCATTATCGCAAAATAAAACCCAGGCAGGGTGTATGATTAGGAGCTGACTGAACATGATATTTGTTGTTGTAATGATTATACAATTTTTATTAGTTTGATGTAGTCATATAAAGTTCTGTATGTTCATTTACGGGGTTTCCGCTTCTTCCTGCACAAATTTCCTTGCTCTTTAAATACTTTATATTATGCAAAACTAAACTGAACACTATCATGCTTAGATTACATGACCACTTTCCAAGTAAATAAATACATGGATGTGATTTAATGTGAAATTATTTTATAATATTACATGTATAAAGTTTTCAAATTACTCAGATGTGTGGACTGATATACAGCGTTTTGCTATGGACGACAGTGAGAGCGAATTTCAAATCAATGAATGTCATGATTGACCAATCAGAATCAAGCACTCCAGAAAGCTGTGCATTATATATTTTTTGTTATTATTATTTCTGTCATGACAACTCAGAGTGTTTGGCATGGTAATGTTGATATGTTTGGTCTTGGAGGAATAGATCTGCTACTCTGCTGCTGCTGTTGGTTATTGCTGCTGCTGCAGAGTAAGTACGGGACTTGCTACTGCCAATACATACATACATACACGAGTCACGACACGCTGCTGTGAGCAAGTAAGACACGCTGCTGCTGTACAAGATAACACACATGAATTACTCGTAGCAGATCTATACAGGTGGAGCTGGGGAAGGAGGAGAGTTTCTGAAAGCGCTGCACTGCTACAGCAAATGCTGACTAAGTATTTGAATGCCGAGCAGCGAGCTCATTGGCTACTGATACAGCAGGAACCAATCAGCTGTGCCCTATAGAGAATGATGTGATTGCAATAAGATTGAGTTAAGGACCTATCAGCCTGCACCATCTAGAGTTTCATGACAGAGCTTTGTATTTCCGTATACCATAATTGCTTTGGATAAAAAGGACAGAGATAATCAAATAAGTATATTCTTTAATTAAATGCTATCTTTTAGTTCACATATAGATTCTGCCAGGCTGAGCATTCAACTTTTATCAGAAATCTCCATCTGGAGCACTTTAACCAAATGCAAAGTGTGCTAGCTTGCTCATCAGGAAGCATTCCTGATAAATGCTTGTCAACAGATCAACAAACCAATCATGACACTCTAACACATCTCAAAGCTTGCATCAGTTGCTCAGAAGATAGGAAGTAATTGGCGAGTAAAAGCCACATTTTATTTCAGGTATTGTTTATAAGAGCACAATTCATGGTGAAATGCCCATCTCACTAAGTGCTTTCACACTAACTGTTGTTACTAGATGGTGAATGTGGCGAGCAGGACGAGGCCTCTGTGTCGTCCTGCTCGCCACAGTGAATCTTCTAAATTTCCGCTCCATGAAATATCTAAAGGCTCTAAATGATTCACTATGAATTACAAACTGCACTCCCTTCTAAACACTAACATGAAATGTATTGAATTATGTAGAAATAAAACAAACATTATATTGCATTCTAAAGACAATTTTGCCTAATTAATGCTTTGCATAATCAATGCCTCGTGAGAGATGCCTGTTTCATTGCAAATCCTGAGCATCCATCATCCCAACCCAGGCCTGTAACATCACCACTGCACCCCTCCTGCCACAGAGACTGTTCCTAAGCAACCACCCCCAGCAACCAGATTGCCATAGAAACCGAACAGAGAGAAATTACAGAGAGGGGAGAGACACACTTGTGATGTGAAAAATTGGGGGATATTCCACACTGTTTGCAAAATATTCCACCTTAAATTTTGATTTCGGGATGTTTTAGTAAATGATATCTATTTTAAAGGCCTATATAAGTAATATATCACTTGAATATGTGTGTGTGTGTGTGTGTGTCAGTGCTGTCAAATCGATTGATTGCGATTAATCGCATATTAGACAAAATTTTATATATATATATATATATATATATATATATATATATATATACATATGTATTTTATGTTAGAAGCGATTAATCGATCTGACAGGACAGTGCAAGTTTGCACTGGAGATGAGCTAGTGCAGCACCAGTGTTTCTGTATCTGCTGCGGTGGGTGTAAACAGAAGAAAATAATGTCACTGAAGGCCAACGAGTTTAAGGCCCTCAGGAGACAGCTTGTCACTTCATCAACCTGCTCCTGTAGAGACACAGAAAGGTCACCAACATACCTCTGTCAGATCTTTTTCCTCCATCTTCTTCACCACAGTATTTACCTTTCTCTCCCTATCAAATCTCTTTTGCTCTTATTCAAGCAACATTAAACCCAAAAGATCCAGAGAAATTCATATCTCAGCATGATAACCGCAACAATTAAATGAGCAAATACTGAAAGCACCACAATATGGTGGCTTAGTGGTTTAATATACACTCACCTAAAGGATTATTAGGAACACCATACTAATACTGTGTTTGACCCCCTTTCGCCTTCAGAACTGCCTTCATTCTACGTGGCATTGATTCAACAAGGTGCAGAAAGCATTCTTTAGAAATGTTGGCCCATATTGATAGGATAGCATCTTGCAGTTGATGGAGATTTGTGGGATGCACATCCAGGGCACGAAGCTCCCGTTCCACCACATCCCAAAGATGCTCTATTGGGTTGAGATCTGGTGACTGTGGGGGCCATTTTAGTACAGTGAACTCATTGTCATGTTCAAGAAACCAATTTGAAATGATTCGAGCTTTGTGACATGGTGCATTATCCTGCTGGAAGTAGCCATCAGAGGATGGTGGCCATAAAGGGATGGACATGGTCAGAAACAATGCTCAGGTAGGCCGTGGCATTTAAACGATGCCCAATTGGCACTAAGGGGCCTAAAGTGTGCCAAGAAAACATCCCCCACACCATTACACCACCACCACCAGCCTGCACAGTGGTAACAAGGCATGATGGATCCATGTTCTCATTCTGTTTACGCCAAATTCTGACTCTACCATCTGAATGTCTCAACAGAAATCGAGACTCGTCAGACCAGGCAACATTTTTCCAGTCTTCAACTGTCCAATTTTGGTGAGCTCTTGCAAATTGTAGCCTCTTTTTCCTATTTGTAGTGGAGATAAGTGGTACCCGGTGGGGTCTTCTGCTGTTGTAGCCCATCCGCCTCAAGGTTGTGCGTGTTGTGGCTTCACAAATGCTTTGCTGCATACCTCGGTTGTAACGAGTGGTTATTTCAGTCAAAGTTGCTCTTCTATCAGCTTGAATCAGTCGGCCCATTCTCCTCTGACCTCTAGCATCAACAAGGCATTTTCGCACACAGGACTGCCGCATACTGGATGTTTTTCCCTTTTCACACCATTCTTTGTAAACCCTAGAAATGGTTGTGTGTGAAAATCCCAGTAACTGAGCAGATTGTGAAATACTCAACCATGCACGCTCAAAATTGCTTAAATCACCTTTCTTTCCCATTCTGACATTCAGTTTGGAGTTCAGGAGATTGTCTTGACCAGGACCACACCCCTAAATGCATTGAAGCAACTGCCATGTGATTGGTTGATTAGATAATTGCATTAATGAGAAATTGAACAGGTGTTCCTAATAATCCTTTAGGTGAGTGTATGAGCTTGTGAAGCTGCAGGATCAGAGTGCAGAAGAGAACTTTGACTCTTGTGCCCAGAAGTAAAACATTTAACCACACGTTGCTCCAATTTATAGAAGCTTGTTTTCGACACAGATTTTTTTTTTTTTTTTTTTGCAAAGGTAATAAAAGTAAAGCTAATTGCAACTTTTTAAAATAATTATGTTTTCTCCTCATAATTGCGAGTTTATCTCTCAAAATTCTGACTTGATTTCTTGTAATTACGAATTTATATCTCGCAATTGTCTTTTTTCCTCTAATTCTAACTGAGAATTGCGTAATATAAATGCAAATTTTCAAAAAAAATTCAAATTTGAGATAACTGCAAATTGCAAGATATAAACTTGCAATTCAGAGAGAAAATAGAAAAAAAGTCGCAATTACTTTTTTTTTATTCCATGGTGGAAACAAGCTTCCATACCAAACAGATCATCCCTATAGTAAAAATGTACTGCAAGTCTTAATATTTAATTGTGTTGTTAATATAATATTGTTAACTAAAACTAATTGAAATTAAGCTGAAATACAATAAAACATTAGTATGATAGATGAAAAGATTTAACTTAAAAATGTAAAATTTTGCTAGTACTAAAGTACTAAAATACTAAAAATAAAAATAAATTAAAGCTAAATAGAAATAAAAAGTAACATAAGAAAATTACTAAAACTACAACTAAAATAAAAAAACTGAAAATATAACAATACAAGCTCATTCAAAACATTAATGATTACTATAATGGTATCTAGATAATCCTAAAATAACACTGAACCAAAACAACAAAAAAGTATTCTCCACACCACACCACACTCTAAAGCAGAGAGCATCTTATCTACAGTTCTTCGTGTTTGTTTGAAAAAAGTCCCAAAGGGAATAACGTTTGAAAGTAGGCCCAGCATTTAACATAAAAAATTGGTCTCATAACCACCAACTTTTACTAACACAAACATAGAGAGCTCTAGCAACTGTTTTCACCAAATAAATAAAGAAAAAAGCAGGGCACTGAAGAGGGAAAGAGTAAGGACACCACTTTCCAATGAGCCCGAATGGCAGTCTATGAGTAGATCAGAGTGACCCCTTTGAGATGATGACGCATTTACCTTTAAGGAAACCAGGACACTAAAAAAAACATCTTGTTTGAGTAACCAAGGTTAGACTCAAGATACTAACTTTGCTTTATTTAAAGCTGATGTGAATTAAATTAAAGCTGTATTTCTGAACCACAAGCATCTCCTGATCCATTGGCTTCTGACAAATAAAGACTTTTGCTTATATAGCGCATCCACTGATCTATTCAAATAGTACTTTCAACCAAACAATAGTATCATTACTGCTGCATGCATCCAATACAAAAGCTGAATTATCAACTTAAATGACATGCCCACTGTACCTACCAGTTTACCATCCACCGTATAAAGCCTCTTGACCACTCCAGAGTCCAGTTTGATGGCATCTGTGATATCTGTGAGAACCTGCTCAAACGAGTGGGCCGTCTTCTTGTTGAGAAGGATGCGCACGGCCTTCCGAGGCTTCACCCCGCTGCGGATTATGGTGACCAGTTTGGGCCGGATGAAATCCTTGTTATCCTTGATTTCTATAGACCCACCCTTGGCGCTGCCCAGAGAGGAGGGCGCTCGTGCTGATCCAACGGTCTTGGCGTTGACCGACCAGTTGGGGTTGACATTCTTAGTGTATTCCAACTTCTTGTAAGGCTCAATTGATCCACAGACATAGCTCTCCCCTGTGATACAAAATAAAATAACAGAAATAATCAGTGAGAACCTAATCAGATTTCTAAAGGAATCATGCAGACTGGTTTTCTGAACCGCTTCAACAAGATTCACAGAACATATTTTTTTACTCTTTTTATTCATGAATCAGGCATTGATAATTCTCTCATTAAAACTTATGAACATCCTTCAAAATAAAGGTTTCAAAAGGTGGTTTTCGCAGCGATGCCATAAAAGAACCATATTTGGTTCCCCAAAGAACCTTTCTTAAAAGAACTATTAAAAGAACCATCTTAGTGTGAAGAAAGAAATAACCTTTATTGCAAGGGAATGTTCCATGGATGGACAGGTTCTTCATTGGACTGTAGACGCCAATAAAGAACCTTTATTTTTAAGAGTATTGACTTAAATCTTGGTTTGTTCATCATAAAAAGCTTTTGTCTGGCTTCGGAAAACTTGTATGAACCACTTTCGTATGTATTTCTTTCTTCTGCTTTGATTAACCATATTCTTAAACCAAACCCTAACAGTAACTCTATAGTAAGTACATGTAGTTTATTAATATTAGTCCATACTTATTTGAGTAAGTACAATGTAACTACATCACCTTCAAATAAAGTGTAACCCATAATTGTATTATTGGGTAAACTATGCCTATAACGAGGCTATCCTATGTTTAGTATCATGAGGGCACACAGAAGAAATTTCATACATGTGAGTTAAGACAGTCAATAGACATTTAAGCTCCTAAAAAGTATAGTCCATAATGACGGAGAGGTCACACGGTGAAGGTTAAGTAAGTGCCCAGCTGAGACTGAAATAACCTCCAACTCCCTCATTTACATTCATTCTCATTCTGCCATCAGTCAGAATGAACGAATGAATGAATGGTTGGGTGGCCTAGAGAAAAGCACTAGAGATACCACTGCTATAATCAAATCAGAGTCATTTAACACATAATTCAAGGACCAACTTATATTTAATGATTTCAGCTCTCATGCTTGATTTATTGGTCAACATTGAGAGAAAGGGAGTGGTATGGAGATGAAGAAGCTGTTAAATATTGATGAGCATTTTAACGTGATTATCGGTTTAAATCACAGGGCACTCTGGTATCACTATCTGCTCACAGACAATACAAGCTTGATCCTTGTTCAGGACTAGGCTACAACCCATGCTCTGTTTGTGGAGTCAGAGACCCTGGATATAAACACAAGTAAATAATACAATGACTTTTCACATAGTAGATTATCTAATTGTTGCACACATACGATATATTATGTGCTTAATGGGTTTTGATTAGGTCAGAGGAACATATGAAAAGAACTGAAGGAAAATAAAGGTTAATTCCAAAATAACTACTTTCATAGTATACTGACATTATTACTGTCATTCACAACAGAGCTTGATTGGTGCATTATCGTCTTTTTAAAGCAATGAGGAAACTGAACATTTTTAAAGTGCTTTTGTCCGTTTTAATTAACTTATACCTCATGGCATGAGGTATAAGTTAATTAAAACGGACAAAAGCACTTTAAAAATGTTCAGTTTCCTCATTGCTTTAAAAAGATGATAATGCACCAATGGGTTTTGATTAGGTCAGAGGAACATATGAAAAGAACTGAAGGAAAATAAAGGTTAATTCCAAAATAACTACTTTCATAGTATACTGACATTATTACTGTCATTCACAACAGAGCATGAGGTATAAGTTAATTAAAACGGACAAAAGCACTTTAAAAATGTTCAGTTTCCTCATTGCTTTAAAAAGATGATAATGCACCACTGGAAAGTCTAGTTTTAAGGTAGTAACTGGTTTCTAGATGTCCATTAGCTGGCCGAAGCTGATCATTTCCTTGTGCAAGCTTGTAGGCCATCTAGGACCAGCAATACACCAGCTAAATTCGAAATCTTAAACACTCAAAAAACTTTTCCTGTGAAAACCGTTTTTAAATTGGACATTGCTTTACCATGGAAACAGTAGGCTACTTTGTTAGACATGTAGTTTTGATTTTCTAGCAATTTTAGAGTCCAAATTATGTTGTAAAATATATATTTTGTATCAAATTTTGATTGTGCTACATTTGATTTGCAGTAAGCTTAAACGTTTTTTTTTTGTACACTTTCATTTTTAGAAGCTGCTTTCATTTCTGCAATAATCTAATGAGAGACATTATGTCTGTATAATTCATGACTTACACACCATCTAAGTTTAGATCAATGTTCAAAAAGGAGGTGACAGTAAATAGGTTAAACATGATGTCCTCATATGGAGAATAGGCATGTATAACCTAAACAATCTACACACGTGATGAACACCACCATGTGCCTCAAACTGAACAAGAAACAAAATATTCTGGTGTCCCTAGACCTGGATAGGTTACTGACACCCACCTTCCACCAGCTGCTCCATGCTGGTCATTTTCGACCCGTCAATGGCATAAATGGTCCGGACCCCCTGAGGCAGATTTACATTATCTGATAGGGAGCGGGTGAGGTCTGCGAGCAGAGCGTCGAAAGACCTGAATCTGTCGTTGGAGATAGCGTACACAATCCCTTTAAAGTACCGGTCTCCATTGCGGTAGAAGCGGACTTTCTTGGCTTTCTTCTCGGAGCTCAGAGCCTGTAAGGTGCGGGTTCGGTACAGGCTGCAGTGGGCGCTGTGCGTGGGGCTCGGGAGGCCGTTCGCCCGTGAACCAGCGCGGCTGTATCTTTGTGCTTTGTCCCGTTCGTCGAAATGCTCCAGCTCCATGTCAACACCCGGGACTGTAGTTGTATGGCTATGGAAAATTGTGTGGGAAAATGTGGGTTGCGTAGATGAGTCATGTTCAAATTAAAATTGCATTTATTAGGCTACAAAGCTTTTTTTCTCTCTTCTTCTTCTTTTGAATATGCTTGTTAATACAATAAAATGCATTTTAGGCTAGATAGATAGATAACGGCTAAATAACCTGCTGGAAATGTACATTTCCGTTTGCTTATCAAACTGACAAAATAGGCCTATAATTTAATCAAATTAAATAATTTATAAAAATGTTCCATTTGTGTTTTTAACAATAAACATTAAAGTATTAAAATTATATAACACGATGTTTTAATAATTCATACTATTGCAAGTTATTTAAACACGCCCAAAGGGTATAAGCACAATGAAGAATTCGCGATTCATCAATTAAAAAGCGATATTAATGCACTAATAAATCTAATTGTGCGATGTCTGATATGGTGCATCTTGCTTCAAAGACAAAAAAATAGTCATCTTACTTGTGCGCGTGTAGCTATCCGATGAGCACAGTCGATATGAAAGCACACATCTAATGGCTTGTCATCTCTTCCAGAGGATGCTGGTGATGGGATGGGCTGCAGCCGGTGTCTCTCTGCCCCTCTAATGCATTGCAGAGAGACTGGCAGTCTTTGTCGTATTCATGGAGAAATAAATCCCTCAATGAATGAATACGAGCGAGCAGGGCTGTGTTTCAAAACCTAGTGAGCTGCCTACAGACAGTTTAAAATGCGGGTCCTCGTGGGTGGGGAGGGGAGCACAGCTTCTGTCCGGCAGACACACTCCAATGGTACAAGCTCTATTCAAACGGTCGTATTGCCTACATTTAAATAAATGAGCTATGATAGCATATGACCTTTGATATGATTCCTCATGTTTCACACCCGTACGCTTAAGGTAGATCATTTATTGCACCAATGAGAACCGTATGAACGTTACACTAGAACCAGTTATTTTTCATAACAGTAGCTTACGATCAAGAGACGCCTGGTCATGATTTGGATATTAGTTGTTTGCATATTTGTTATTTTATTTTTATTTATAACCTAAACCTACTGCAGGAAATAATTATTTTGGAATTACTTACGACCGAAATGCCAAACACAAACCATATTATATAGGCCTACAATATATTTTTACAATGACTTTGTAATATATTTGTAGATTTAAGTGTAAAAATTACAAATTTTTATAAAGATGTAATATTATATCATATTATGTTAAATATATTTGAAATATTAATAGACATTTATAAATAATAACATTTTACTATTTGTATTGCCTAAGTGACTAAAATTACTATTAGTATAAATATTTACTATTTAATGATATACTACTTTTTAATTTAAGTCTAATTTTATTCGTTTATTTTTGTATATTTTTCTTTAAAAGTGGATGAAATTCACCTCAAACTAAGACCTCCAGGACATCAACTGACATTCACAACATTAAAAAATGATAGTAATAATAAATGTGATGTCTAAAAACAACCCCATTTTAAATATCTGTAGAAGCTAACATCAAGTCAAAACCTACATGTGACTTTTGCTGGAGTTTTATCTAAATATGGGTAGAGAAAGTTAATTTGCTACATATGTAGCTACCTTGTATCAGTCATAAGAACAGTTGCAACTTTTCTTTCAGTGAGCTGGTACAATTTACAAAATGTGACACTAGATGGCAGTATTCACTTAAAATTCAATTCATCTGAAAAAAGCAGCAATAATATCTCACTGGATACAAGATTATGTATGCAGTTTAGATGTGAACAGGGAGGCCAAAAGGAAATATTTATACATAGAGAAAACAATATTTTGTGCAGTTTATATGTAATGAAAGGAAGTTTAATGCTGCCGTTTCAGGGCACTTTGATCAAGCTATAGTTTGACCTCATCTAGTGTCTTGCCTACAGTAGGTCTATGAATCAATCCATTCAAAGCAATTATTCCAACACAAAGAACATCACACTGTGTTTAAATTAGAGTACATACAAAACAATATGTTTTAAATGTTTAATTTATTATGTCAGATAACCATAGGCTATTAGATTCAGTCATTGAGCAAATCTAGACTTGTGGTTAAACTTAAATAATGCTTACACATTATTTTTGGTGTCAATACATCGATTCGAAATGAGACAAATATTTTGTAAAGACATACACGTAGAATTAACACGTTTGTTAATGCTTACAGTGAAATGTCATTACAGTTCAAGGTAACATTTATATATTTTTCTATAGTCAAGTTAAAAAAAGGAAAAAGTGCAGCCATTATTTTAATGAGAAAAAACGACAACTGCATAGAGATGTTTTATGAGTGGTCAATATCTACAGTGGGAGAACTCCATATATATGACATGTTGCAGTTTATATTAAATATAAGCCTCTTTAACTTAAAATGTTATTAAAATATATACTTTAAAATTACTAGATTTTAAACATTTCCCAAAAAGTCTTATTTTAATCAGATTTCTAATATCTGACATCAATATCTTAATCCAACTCCATGTGCAATTATATTTTTATTGCACTATTTTCCACAAGAATACCTAGCAGCCATCATCCTCAAGAAATATTCGTGTCTGTTCCTAGCAAGGGTTAAAGTGCGTTTTAATATTTTAAAACATAAAAAACCCTGAAAGTACCAAGAGCAAACAGGTCTGCAGATAAAAAACAACTACCATAAAGCATTCTTAGCATATATATTAAAGCTTAGATATAGATTTCATCTTAAATATAAGAATATTATATTTGTTAAGGCTCTATGGGAAAATCATAAATTCCACCTTTGGCTTGCACTTTGCTTTAAGGGTCCATTTATAAGACACAAACCGCGCAAAACTACTGACATTTACGTAAATATGATCCATCTAAACAATGGATCTGTGAGTTCATTGGTGATATGTTGAGTTTACATTGCTGGTGAAGTGTAAGGCATGGTCAGGAATTTTGTCCGGCAGGCAGGGCAGTCAGTCAGTCAACTTGTAAAGGGAATTTTTGACTTGCATTTACAGTTTAACCAGTGAAAATAGTAAACATGACAGCACAATTAACTGTATTTACTGTAGTGAGGCCTTTGGAATTCAGTGTCAGTCGCATACAAATAACAACAAAAGCACACGGACAACGATCCATTCACTTCTTCAATCTTTTTTTGAAAGCATGACTTTTGGTTTGCTCTTAAAAATGGACACCTGAAACGAGAGGTTTGAATCTAAAACGCTACTTTTGGTCTTTATGTTTCTCAACTTGACTGTCTGGCTCTTTGACTTTATAGTCAGCCAGAATGGCATGGGCAGTCTCTTTGCCGGTCTTCTTGACCATTGCCTTGATCCCCAGGTTGTCGATATTGAAAGCGGTGACGCCCACATTGATGGCTGAGTTGACAGCATGGTCTGTGGCCTGGCCCGCTTCTGCCCCATACCTTGATTATAGACAACCCAGATTAAGTAAAAGAGAGGATGGGGTGATGAAAGAGGTGATTGAAAAATAAGCTTTAGGAGATGGAGAGTACCAAATGCAGAGCAAAGCAGTTAAACATACATGCAGGGATTCAGTTATTTCTCTAGAGAAAAATTATCTGATTTAAAATGTCAAATTAATCCTACAGGTGGCATACAAATGTTTATTATGTTTTAATGAGCAAAGGTCTAAATGAAAATGGCCATTACTTTTAAGCACAGTTAGAAAGGGAAGGATGGTTGTTAACAAAAAAAAAAGATATAAAACAAACGAACTGTATATGATCTTATATGAGCTATATCACCAATTATTTCCCACTTTTAATTATTGGAAAGATTAAACTTATTAGTACAGTATAAGAGGATTTAGACATTGTTCAAAAGTTTGAGGTCAGTAAGATTGTATGTATGTTCACCAAAGCGGTGTTTATTTGAACAAAATTACATGCAGTAATATTGTGAAATATTATTAAATATTTTGCTGTTAACCTTTTAAAATGTAATTTATTCCTTTGGAGTAATGAAGCTGAAAATTCAGTTTTGCCATCAGTCTTCAGTGCCACATGATCCTTCAGAAATGTGGTGCTTAAAGATTTCTTATTAATATCAAATGTTGAAAACAGTTCATATTTTTGTGAAAACAGTGATACTTTTTTTCCAGGATTCTTTGATCAAAAAGAGCATTTATTTGAAATATAAATTATGTCTTTACTGTCACTTTTGATCAATTTAATGCATCCTTGCTCCAAAGTATTAATTTATTTTTTTAAAACTCACTGACCATAAACTTACGAACAGTAGTGTGTATACTGTATACTGTACATCTTGGTCGAATTGTGATTATGTTTGCCATCCGATCCAACCCGGTAAAACCTTCTGCTGATCCAACGGCATAATGAAAGTCATAATTAAAAGGGTTCAAAAGTTAAGAAAAACGAAGCAATGAGATGAATTACTTTTGGCTGTTAGAAAAAGATATTCATTCCATCTCTGAGCTATGGATCAGTGTGCAAAGCAGCACAGGATGCCAACGGACGTGATGTTATCATGTCCAATAGATCATTAGCATTGCGTGCAAGAGCTGACTGATTCAGACACATCCATAAGCTTCAGCCATGCTCCTGACCATTAATTAAGGCCATTTTACAGGGTGCAGGGAAAAAAAGTTCTACTTGTTTTCAATTGGGGTGTCTGAAATGTTCCCCAGACCCCTAAATCTGTAAACAAATACATGGAAGAAACTAGTGTGAGTGCAGTTTATTTTTCTGATCAAAGTTACTGGTGAGCAACTGCAAATGCAGAAAGTTAAAACATTGGCATGATCAACCTAAAAGCAGGTGAAATGATCTGAGAACCTTGTGGAGTTACTGTACTTACTTATGTTTTACCGTGGTAACCGTCTCAGCAGCAACACTCTTTGCAATGTTCTTTGCTGCAACCTCCAACCCCGTCCACATCGTTGCAAATCCTGACAAAAGTATAGAGGCTTGTTTCAAAAACATAAAAAAAAACTTTTGAATGGTAGTGTAATGTGATAAGCACATTTACTGTAGCACTGGCAGCATTTAACTTTTGTAATAAATGTATGTTTGCAACCTTAGTCTTGGTATTTACCATTTCAATGACTATCATTTACTGTCGGTATTTAAAACAAATCTAATGAATCACTTGGCTTGCTTAATTTGCTCCAGGGTAACTAACTTGACAAATCACATCAACTGTCTGATCAATAACGTCTATAATGTAATTGTAGTTGCTTTGGAAGGAAAGAGTCTGACAGAACATAAATAAACAGTGAGTAAAGTAAATGTATGTGACCGAAAACAGCAAAGAAGAGCATCATTTCTGGGTTGAATGATTCACTTCACCTTGAACTCCACTTGCTGCAACCACCATGGCACCGTCAATATTGGAGCGTCCATCCCTGTCTTTCTTCAGAGACTCTGGGATTAGCTTCCCTCCGTGTTTCTTCACATGGGGTGCCAGCTCTCGGCCAGCATATCCAGCAACAGTGCACAGTCCATCCACTACAACAGTACAGAACATGTTTTTTTGCTCAAATCCTCCACAGTAAATTAAGTGCATCTCATATTTATTGACTATTATCAACAAAATGAGGAATTCCCAAAGATAGTAATGGTGAATTGATAAAGCCTTCCTTACCAAGGAACTGGCTGACTTTTACTGCTCCTCCTGTGGCCTGTTTGGCCACATGGAGGCTCCTGGTTACCGTGGGGCTGACTTGGGCTGGTTTGTCCTCTGGAGTGATGTGGTCTCGTAGTTTGGATGCTCCTTTATGTATGGCTTTCCCCGTGTACTCCGCCCCCTTCACCAACCCCCAGCTCAGCCATGAAGCCCCTGTCGATATATTTCAAGAAGTAAACTGACTACGCTGCTTTAAATACTGTACATTATAAAGTGTTTCCTGTCTCTTTTATCGGACATTTCTTTTTTTAAGGACTTTCTATAAGTATTTTTGGTGGCAACAACTGTTTAGGTTCTTCTAGCACAACACAAATAGTTGGACAATTAACCAACTGTCCTAAATGCTTAAAACACTAGGGCCCGGTTTCACAGAAAGGGCTTAGACTAAACCAGGATTAGGCCTTAGTTCAATTACAGTAGGACATTTAAATGGCTTTTATAAACTTGCCTTAGAAAAAAAAACTGGTGTGCATCTTTCTTGAGACAAAACAACGGCAGTGACATATTTTAAGATATGCCAGTACAAGTTGCTTTCAGTTAAAACAGCTCAAATATGCCTTTTCTGTGAAACCAGGGGGAAGTTTATGATTTCTAAATCCACAAAGTGATAAACAATGACAGTATTTATGTTTTCTCAATGTATTGTTTAATAATGGGCATAAAAATCATAGGCATAACTTCTGTTTACATGTGTCTATTTGGCATCTGGTGAAAATATAAGTTATATAAGCAATATATAAATATAAGTTTTTACTTAAGACATTTGAAAAAGCTGTTGAATTAGAATACTGTAAAAACTGATTTGAAGATACTCTACTTTTCAACACATTTTTAAATAAAATACTTTTATTCCGTAAGGATACAATTAATAATCCAAAGTGACAAATATATTTATAATATTACAAAATATTTTTATTTTGAAATAAATGCTGTTATTTTGAACGTTAAATTCATTTAATAATAATAATAATAATATCATATTATATATATATATATACACAATGTATATATAAATAGGCGCAACTAATTTTAACATTAATAATGTTCATGAGCATCAAATCATTGTATTAGAATGATTTCTGAAGGCTCGTGACACTGAAGACTGGAGTAATGATGCTGAAAATACAGCTTTGACATCACAGGAATAAATTACTTGTTCCTTATAAAATACTTATAATAAAATAATAAAATATTTGAAATCCTAATAATATTTCACAAAATGACTGTTTTTACTGTATTTTAGATCAAAATAAAACGCAGCTTTGGTGAGCATAAGATATTTCTTTAACAACCCCAAACATGTTAAATATGTTTCATTCATTATTTTTATTCGAGCCTTCTTTAGGGAGATCAGACCCCCCGGCTTACCAGTCAGGATCCCCTGAGCCACCTTCTCGCTCCATTCAGGAAGAACCATGTCCTCCTCAGCAGCAGAGGGTGATGCTTCAGCTGCAGAAGGGCCCATCGGCACCTTCTGACCCAGGTTAATGGTATCGGCTGCGCCATCTGATGCCTTGGAGACACAGGATAGCGGGCAACAGTTAAAACAGAGCATCATAAAGAGTGCAGAACCAGGCTCAAGCAATCACTAAAAGCAAATGGTGACTTGTAGGATGACTATATGGACATAAGCCAGTATTGTGAATGACACAAGGAGGGAATGCTTCCAGATTTATCCCACTTTGCCAAAAAAAAACCTTTGTTGTCTCTAAACACTTGAGCCAGTGAGTCAGCATGGTCTGCTACAACAACCTGTTATTTCCACAACAATGGGGGTGTTTGTCATCGCCCCGTCCTTTACAGGGAACAGCGGCACTTGGTTCCAAACTCAGCAGCAGCTGCTCTGTGAAATGACTTCTAAAAGCATTATGATGTTTTTTTTCATTATGACTCGCATAACCACAAGAATAGGACTATGACTCATTATAAAGCAACTGAATTTAAAAGACAAAGAAGAATGATGCGGGTGAGCTACTGTTACACTTGGCTGCGCTCTCGTCGACAACTATCCTGTGGTGAGAAGGGAAACAAAGGTGTTCTTGGTTTGCTAAGAGCATTACAGCTAATTAATTCTCCTTCTCATGTATGCTCTCAATCCATGGAACCGCAGGGGAGTGTGCCAGATAAAAAGCGCAAGCCAAGCCGGCTCACTATTTCATGAATAATGAACATAATACCCAAAGCCAAAGGTGTAAGAACAGTCTTGAATATCTGTGTAACAGCAGTGCAAGCAGCAGTAAACATAGAAGCATTGTAAGGACCACAAGAACTGTCAAGTGCATTAAATGATAAAAGATACAGTAGTTCCATTCAGCACAACAAACAACTTGAAAGTATTTTTTATATCTAGTAATAATGTAATTCTAGGAAATCTATCTATCCATATTAGTACTGGCCATTAATGTGCCTGGAGTCTTTCTCGTATGTAAGGGGTACATTTTAAACATATTTGACAAAGGTGCGTTGGTTGTAAAACTTAGTTAGTGCACTTTTAAGTCAAGCACTCCAATGTGATCCTTAAAGATCACCCCGATGTGTTGTTATTTATAGCATAAATATACACAACCCAAATGCACTTGTCATTCAGTGGTCCTGCAATGCTTTAGTACCTTATATATATCTTTTAAACTCTCAAATACACCTGAAATCTGTGAAGATAGTAAAGGGTTAATGAGGCAGGCAGGTGCAATGATATGTGCCCAATGCAAGTAACATGCAAAAATCTGATTTAAAGGCCATTCCAAACACATGCACTTAAAGGGTGTGAACATTATGCATCTAAAATACATAAAAATGTTACCACAGTGTAAAATTCTTGATTCTAGTCTGTTCTGAAGAAAAAAAGAAAAACTCAAAAAATACCAAATAGAGGGACCAACAAGTGAGATACTGGAATTAATATTCAAAGCAGCAGAGATTGAGTCAGTGACAAACACAAAGTTTGAGACGATGTTGCGCAACCACACCTGCTCTGAAGCCACAGCTGACCCCTGTGTTTCTGAGGTGGGACCTGAGGGGACACAGGGACAGCTCACCTGGACACGCAGGTCAGTCAACTGAGAAAGTACATTCTGGAATAGTTCACGTTCCTTCTGGGGAAGCTCGGAAGAAAGGACCACCCCAACATACGAGCCCGGGTTGGGAGCCATCATGTCAGGGAACATGTAGACCCCAGTGTTGCACAGCAGGACTGGGGAGTCAGAGGCCATCAATGGGTAAAGCCAGTCACAAACCTGAAATTAGAACAGTTTTAACTTTTAAACTATCCATACAATCAAAGGGCAGCTACTGGCAGGCTGATATGAATGTGTCGTAATGTTGGCCCTTACCCAAAAGCCACCCAAATATGCGGGCAATAAAAAGTTGTGAGCATGACGATGTTGACCCAAGAACATGTCCTTCTTATTGGGACATACTCATTACCAGATATATCGTCCCACCTCAAAAGAATGATTTATAGTAGACAGATCAAATCATACAAATTCCTACTGAATAATTCATATAAATGATTTATCAAAAATATACAAATCATATGTCTTATTTTAATATTTTCCTTAAACTAATATTAATATTGCCTTAAAATAGTGATTTTAAAAGCCTTACTTTACAGACCAAACGATAAAAATCTAAATCTTTATCAAAAGTATGGGAATCACTTTTATGATTTAATATATTAATTTAAATAAATATTCTTTTAAAGTAGCGCTTTTAAAGTACTGTCTTGGTTTTATGAGACCTGTAGTGACCTGATATTGCAGACTATTGTAGAGCTACGAGAAAAGAAGAAAAAAAAAGAAAGAAAAAAAACCCTTGTTGTTTCTCATCCAGCTGCTGACTGACAATATCTTTTCTTTAGATTTGTAAAGGGTTAACTTGTTATCTGGTGCAAAGTTATAAATGGAAATTGCCCCTTGTATTTCTAGGGAGGACCAGAATCTAAAGTTCAGGTCTGGATTTCCTTCAAGTTGAAATGGTGGACAGCTCTGCAGTTAGATTCATTCGTCGTGTCCTCATGACTGCTAGCATTAAATTGGATTACCGTCAAAGCCTAAAGCGCAGCAACTGGAGGCTCTTTATTCAGCTTCATGACACAGCTAATATATGACCTCAATGTCCATGTGGAGAGATGATACAGTTTACTTTAGGACGTTAGAATCTTTGGGCCAAGGGTCCAGAAGTCATGCAAGGCTTACATATTAATACTCAATTTTCTGACTTCCATACAATTACCTAATGTTTTGAATTATGAATTTACATTAGGCATATTATCAACCGTTATCACAAACAACAGCAGGGTTCAAGTGTAAACTCGTCTCATATTGTGTTGTTTATATTGTCTCTCATTTCAAAAAAATACTACCAAGTCATAAAGCTCATTCTGTAACACCGCTCCACCAGATAACTGGGGCTGTCCCAGGATGATGTCACTCAGTGAAAGCTTATTGGATATTAGCAGTGAGCATACACTCACATGACACCATTAAAAAACAACAGATGAGGTCAGCCTTTATTTAAAACAACACCATCTCAAAAGTGAAGGGAGTTTTAGAGCCAGACAAAATGTTGTGAAAGTAGGTTACAGGCACCATGACTTGAAACAAGCCTCCTTGGACCATTATGTCCAAATTCCTGGAATTTACTAAATCTACTAGTCTCTATGGGTGAAAAGAGCACACACAAAGCAACAGTTTTTGGTAGAATATCACGAAACTTGCCTAAAATGTGTCTGGGTCACATTTAACCCAGAAAATGAAAAGACAAAAATAAGAAATTCTATGCGGCAGCAGGGCAGGACCGAGAGCCGTGGGAATGGAATAAGGCCGGTGAGCGCCACCAGCACCCAACATCGGTCTCAATTCCCACGGAGGAGCTCCAGAAGGAAAAAAAGAGGAGTGATGACAGTGGAAGACGACAGAGGACCAGGCCTGGAATTTATGTTGTCTTTTCATTATAGTTTATGTGGCAGTTGTCTATGAGGCAGTCGTTGTGTTTTTATTTTGGGGATTATATAGATTAGATCCATATAACATTTTTGCGTATTCAAGTAATGAGAATTTGGGGAGCATATTGTAATTGTCATGAAAATAATGAAAATGAAAAATAAATAAATGAAAAAAACAACTTAATGTTCCTAAAACAGGCTTAATTTTCTTTCCGCAAACACACACACACACACGTGTATATATATTTATATATATATATTCCCCATTGGGAAAAAACATGTCCTGCACATTTCTTTGTGAGATTCTCTCTTTCAGGCATATGAAGAGGAATTAAATAACAGTACTTGTGATTTCTTACCTGTAGGAAGGCAGGTGGCCTGTTTGGAATCCTCTCTGAGCACTCATTGGTGAACTTTACGATGCGTAGGTACCCTGGGTAAGAGGGAGCGCTCACTTGCCCCTCAGGGGTAACGAAGAAGATCTGCACTCCTTGAGGAAGGAAAAAGAGTTCCTCCCCATCCTCCCCCAGACTCTGAAGAGAGGGTGTGGAATTAGACGTTTGGCTGTAGAACTCATCGCCAACCAAGGAGAGCTCGCCAGAGTCGGTGCCGTAGGAAATGGTCAGGTGTCCGTCAGCGGCCTGAGGGGTGTACTCAGGGGGCTGGTCGCTTAACATATTGGGTTGCATAGTTGGGGAGACCGGAACTGGCCCACCTGAAGCCCCTGCAACGTTGGAAGGGAGCATCTGCGGTGGAGTTGGCCTCTCCGGCTTGACCCTCGGGACTTCAGGGTAGAGTTTCTGAGGGGCTGCGCTGCTATCCGAGACTCCGTTGGGGTCTGGCGTGGTCCCCAGCATGGCTAGACGGGTGGTGATGTTGTTGAGGGTCTCCTGCATCTTGCGCTGCATCTGCCTAGCCGCTTCCCAGGAGGAACCCACGCACTCTACACCCTGCGAAGGGACACTAAGAGCCCTGAGGAGGTGCTGCCGTCCTTGCCGGTACAGTTTTAGTGCCTCTGCGTTGTGGCCCGCCTCATCCTCGGTCAGGCCTTTATTGATGCACTCAAATGCCTTCTCGTACCCATCTTTGATCACTTGCAGCCTGGCTTGATCAAATGCCTCTTGCTTTGCTTGCTCCATAACTGAAAGTAAAGGTCAGAAATGCTGTCAACTCCATGCAATTTAATATGTTATAATTGTACCATGTTACCACTATAGTACTTTTCTAAAGAAAGAACTTATCAACATACATTAAATTAAATTATTATGCGTATTCATAGAAATTTAGTCAAACAACCTTTTTCTGCCACATCTTTCCAGGCTTATTAGCACTGAACCAACTTACACAGACCGTGACATATGAGAATTTACAAACAAAACACCTGCTTAACATTGCGAAGTGACATTCAAAATTAAAGAAGAGGCCCAGCTGGTAGTTTATCGAGTGAATCCTGAAACACGAGTAACTTATTAAGTATTAAAGCCACAGAATCCAACATAATAAGAGTGTTACTGGCTAACAGCCTTTTATAAAGCCCACATAAACCTCTGCCTCTCACTGGTAACATTCGAGGCATTTAACCAAGCATTTCCATTTGGTAACTCACCAGGAGATGTGATAAATGACGTGAAATATGGAGTTTAATGTGTGTTTCTCGTTATTCCGGGTTTGTTGATTGAACAGCTTCAGCTCTCTGACAGCTGAGCTGCTGCTCGACTTGGACGTGTCTGTTGCGTGATCGAATAAAGAAGTTTATCAAGCATAGATTGCAGCGCGTCCACTAGACATGCGCTTCCGCGTTCAGTCACCTGCTGCGTTTTGAGGTTTCTGATTGGTTAGAGGAGTTTGCTCGACAGATGCAGGCTCTGGACAGATGTAGCCGCCTAGTTCACGTGTTTTAGTCAAGCGTTTTTTCCACCAACATTAACAACAACAAAAGGGTATTTGATACAAAGTAATGAATATGCTTAGTAAACGTTAACAGGTAAGCCAACCAATAATTAGACGAATCTTTATTTAATTAAGAAGACTGACATCTTTCTGTAATTGACACTTTGAAGCTTATCCATTTTTCAATATGCCTTTAAATCAGATTGAATGTGACGTTTTAATTCTCATATTGTTGGCACATGAAGTTAGTGTAAGGAGGTTTTAATTTGTAGCCAACCGACTGAGGAATTTCCTGCAGCCTTTGAAACGCCTGTAAATTTTCAGAGCATGTTTTCTCCTTTCTCCTTTTAACTGGATTAATAGCCTAAATAAAGGCAGGTTTTCTTTGTATTTGTTTTCAAAATGTTTCCCACCCCATCTAATTAAGAGCAGTCACTTATAAAAAAAAAAGTATAATGTGCTTTAGCACTCAAATATTTGTGTTTATCAACCGATTAATTCCAGACAGTTTTAGGTATGAAGATAATTCTTCACAGACTATTGCTACGTGTGCATGATTGAGTTCAGGCATCTATAGTTGCCTGAAAGAAAATGATCTTGGGCAGACCGGTTTTGTATAGGCCTAAGACTTTATTTAAGAAACCCTATTCAGGATGAAGTTAAATACAGTATATACACAGAAATTAAAATTTTGACTAATAAGCCAATAATTATTTTTATGTTATGACCAATATCCAATAAATGACTGATATATAAATTCTATACTTTTTCTCTAAATAAATAATACAAATAAATAAATAAAAAATGAATTATTTGTAATGCGCAAAATGTATGCATCACAATATTATAATAGCCTATACATTGTAAAAATGAATATTCATTTTGGGATTTAGGCTACTATATTACATTTAACAGTGTTATTAAATTATTAGTAATTTAAAGTCAACTTTAAGTGAGCATTATGTAAAGGTAATCTAAAACTAGTCTAGCTAACAGGGAACGTTCTCAGAAATTTGGCTAACGTTCTGTCAAGGCTCTCAAAGTTATAAACAAACATTCAGTCATGACAACTCTCGGAGTGACCCGCATTTATTGGCATGGGGCATAGATAGGCTTGATTTTTGTGGACAAGATATGCTACGCTGCTGCAGCTGAGCAAAAATAACAAACAAAGGAAAGGCTGCTAGCAATAAATGGTATGAAGCCCCATAGCAGATCTCTACAGGTGGCGCTGGGGAGGAGGAGGGATATTAAAAGCTAGCTTTCATAATCGCGCAACCGATTGCAGGCTAGGGTAAGACATATATGATTTAATTTGGAACTTCTGATTGGCTGGTGCCACAGCATTGGAAGAATCAATCCACGTTCGGTTTGAGTTTCATGCCTGATCTATTTATGGTATTTCTTCCAGTAATGTTTATAGAACATTCGTTCAAAGTCATCAGGTCTTTGAATATGTTGAATATTTTAAATGTTATTATTTAGGCCAGTATTAGGCTTCTCATTGTGCGGCTCCGCAAGCCTCCTGCGGCTTGCCAAACTTTAATTTGTGGCTCGCATGGCGGTAACTATAATACAGTAGCCTACCTAATACATTTTCGGCTATGGAATGTTTATCTGAAACATTTAAGTTGGACGTTAGTCTAATGTTTTTTTAAATGTTACTTTTTTTCAGATGGGTCAGAGAACATTCACAAATGAACGTTCTCATACTTGTAAAATGATAGCGATGTTTTCTCTATGTTCACACAACCAAGAAATTTTTTTTTTTTTAAACTAGACGTTTTGAACATGCAGAGAACATTAATAGGAACATTACCAAAACATTCTCAGAGAGAGCATATTTTAGTTTGCTGGGAACATATGCAATACAAACTGATCTGATGAAAAACCTTTTATCACAATATATTTACAGCCATTGATCGACAGAGGGCGCTGTATGTTAAACTCCAGTTTTGAAAACAAGGGGTGTTCGAGGCTATGCAGTCCATGTCTAGTTTTTTGTGTTGGTACAGTACACTGGAAAACACCTGGAGCAGGAGGCAAGTAAAGTTCAGTCTGAGAACAGCTCTGGCTGTGTTTTGCAAAAAAGGGGGGAAAGTATAGAAAGCTTAAGATTTTGAGACAGTCAGACAGATAGTTGGCGACCCTCATGAAGCTCTCAAGGTGCATGCTACTACATCTGCTTCATGCATTACTTCACTTTTGAAAGGCCTCGTGTTCAACATTAGTAACGGCATCCGCCGACCAGCTGAACAGCAAAATATATACTTCCAACAGACAAAACTACTTACATGAGAACAAGCTGGAAAATCGTTTTTGTTGTTTGTACACATGTGACACACTCACACAAGCGCTAATTAATTACAGAACACATAGACATGTAAAGGGTGAGATATGAAAACATGCGTTAAAATAGACTCAAAGCGCATGACATCACTGCAAGCATGACATCACAACACCGTCAAACTAAACCAAAGCATATGACTGCACTATATCGCAGTGCATGTAAAATATATAAAACAGGAATTCACATAAACACCCCCTGGGGAAAGAGAAAGTTATTGCCCTATAAATCTTCATAAACTGTCACAACAGTGCCCTTAAAGTTCAGGAGTGAAGGATCCAAATTCAGGGATTGTAAACAAGCATGCTTTCAAATATGTATATTAAAGTCATATTACATTCTTAAAGCTGTGTATTAATATGAAGTTTATAATGGTCAACATGTATGATCCTTTATACACCCACCACCGCTTCACATTATGTTGCTTGGATGATATCACTGGGTCACAGGAGTTGTGATGTTTTTCACCGAGCTCTCCATGCAGGTTTCTGCAAGACCACATGCGTCATGTTGGACCCCTGAAGACCTATTTATAAAACGCTGCTTAGGGGATATTTACACAGGTTTACACACAGTGGTGTGCATGAGATCTGGACCAAATGCAGACCATATGGCCCATATTGACCATAAATTCTGGCACTGGTCTCACCAACACTGCACTAACTAATAGTTGAAAAAAATGATTTAAACATATGGAGGCAGGTAAAAAGAAAGAGGAAAGAATTAAAGAAACACAATAAAGTTATACATTTGAAGCAAGACCCCAGATAGCATGGTAACATTGATACAATGTTGAGTTTTGATCCAAACCATCATTTTGGTTGAGATTGAAATTTCAAAGTTTGATTTATGTTGAATCAACATTGAAATTTTGATGAAAGCCAAGAGCCAAATTGGGTGATGACGTAGACTAATGACTTCGACTAATATTGATTTGTAGTTGATGACCATGGGTTCATTGGTGCTTCTAATTTCCTTAATTGTGTATCCTTAAAGGGATACTCCACCCAAAAATGAAAATTCTGTCATAATTTACTCACCCTCAAGTTGTTGCAAACCTGTATGAGTTTATTTCTTCTGCTGAACACATAGGAAGATATTTTGAAGAATGATTGAAATTGAAAATAATTGAGCTGTTCTTACAAGCTAAACTCAGAACACTTGTCACTTGCTACAATATGTAGTTTCTTGGTAAATTAGTTGCCATATAATTTACAAACTGTCAACATACTGAAGTCCTGTTTATAACTCTTCCATTTACACATGTTTACTGCACAAAATGTAAAAGATATTGAAGCACTAATAGATTTTATATTAAAATAAAAATAAAAATCAATGATACTAAAATCATGTTCTAAATAACAAGATGGCATCTGTCTGTATTCATAAATTGTAAAAAGTAAATGTTATGCTCTTATATGTGACTGTATGTCTGTACAGGTATGTATGAGAATTTAATTGACTTGCTATTAAGCGATATTACGCTTGCTTTTTCAGAGAACCCAAAAGAAAAGAGGCACATCTGACATACAATGAGCCCGTTTTTGAAAACCTGAACTGTTGCACCACCTGTAGCAATAATGACTGCACGCCACGGTGGTCAAAGAGGCGTAAATTGAAATCGTCTCGGTTACGGATGTAACCCTCGTTCCCTGAGTAGGGAACGGAGACGTTCCGTCGGATGACGACGAATGGGGTTTCGCTTAGAAAGCCTATCGACTTCGAGTATACAAAAACGAGCCAATGGCAAAGAAATGCCATGGGTCTGCGGAATTTGCATAGCGTAACTCCGCCTCACCTCGTGGGTATTTAAGGAGAACGCTGGCAGCAAATAGGCATGTTTCTTCGCTGAGGAGCCAAGACTGAGCTCAGGCGATCCCCGCGGTACAGCGGAAAGTGGCAGGAAGACGGAACGTCTCCGTTCCCTACTCAGGGAACGAGGGTTACATCCGTAACCGAGACGTTCCCTTTCGTTGTCACTCCGAGCTCCGTCGGATGACGACGAATGGGGATACCAGTCTAATCACGCCACCTTCTCAGCTGTCTTCCAGTGCCCTGCGTAAATCTGAGATCCCTGTCGTGAGACTAGCACGGACGAAGGACTCCTATTTAGCACAGGAATACCAAGGTACACTGGGGAGCATATCCCAGATTTTAGGGGAATATGCAATTACTGCCAACCCAGAGGGGGGGACTTAAGAATACACATATGACCCGAAGGATGCATATGGGGAATCACTGGGGTGTCCAGCCGCAGGTGGAATATTTCAACCCCAGGGGTGGCAAGGTGGCTTGCCGAGGGAAAGACACATGCTCAAAGAGGCTTACAGTGGAAATACACATGTGGGGGTTACTCAGAGGAGGAACCATGCACACGGAAGGCACCTAGCCGACACGCAGGCAATAGACACTGGCGCCAGCGTCAGCAGTGCTGGAGGAGCTCAGGGCTTTCGGGGAAGCTCACCTGAGGAGAATATCGGACGTATCCAGTCCGTGGAGTGGCATGGCGAGCAAGCGAAGACACCTAACGGATCC